ACATACCGCTGCTGCAATCAGCTTATCTACTGAAAATCCAGACGGGCGATAACCACCATGAATGTCGTTCCATCTCCTGGCATCATCAGCTATCAGAGAGGAACTGATCAAAAGAAACACTGCCACAACAGCATCGAAGATCATCACCTACAATGCAATTTCAAGAAAGTCACAGAGTTTAACGAGCTGTGTTTTGGTTTCTATATAAGGGAACTAGGTAGACTAAGTATCCAAAAATGACGAACTGAAGACCAAAAAAATCAAAGAACAGTACGCTGCCCATTATTCCTGGCGCAAAAATATGCCTTCCTGAGTTTGGGCATTCGCATGCGGCAGTGACATGCTAATTCTGTTTGCCAGCCTGTTGCAGGCGTTCAGATTGTGGGGACGTCGCAAAAAGATGTGTGCAGGAAAAACAGCGAGAGGGTGACGTCTTTCCTTCCTTTTTTAACCCTCGCTCTCTTACTTCGCGCCGCACTCCATTATCTGAACGCCTGCGGGACGTTTTATGAGCACTTCCTCCAGTAAATGGCCTTAACAATTTTTGGTAATTTCGAGCAATATAACTTGTTTCCCATTTCTAATATGTAATGAGAAAACTGACTCCTTTCAAAGCTTTTGGTGCCAATGGGGGATCTTGAGACAAATTTAAAATTGGAAAGGACCACTCAAAATGTCGCTACAGAAACTTAGTATACTATTATCGTCCCAAGTGCCGTGAGCAGGTGGTGTTTGGAATTGGTGGGAAAGGTGATTAAGATGATAACACCAAAAAAGCTGGGAGATGGTTATCACTGTATTCAACCATGTAATTTTTTTCATAATATGAGACTCTTACCAGCAAGTCCCCGCATATAGTGGAATCGATTGCAAGTGTAAATATCGTTGTCATCGCGTCGAAGGCGATACAACAACATGAAACAAGTCTGGCGATAACCAAGAGCCACGAGGTGATGGTGGCAAAGAGAAAAAAGTCCATCCGCCCCCAGGAACTTGAACCTTTAAAGTCGGCAGCCAAGGAAAACGCTATCATCAACAATAACTAAAAGAATAAGAACAAAACATAAACTACGTCGAAAGAAAGGTGCTTCAAGAGGGTGCTTTGGTAACGACTTATATAAAACAATAGCAGATTTTACGTTACTATATATTTTGTGTCTTTAGAGTAAAAGAGAGGCAGGAGTTGAGTTTGTTTTGATGAAAAAAGATATAACAAGCCAAAAAGAAATCCGACAAACTTGCGATTGTTGGGAGACCAAATTCTTTTTTCCTGCAAAGTTTTTATAACTCAAACGGTTAAAACTTTCAAGGGCTAGATAGCTTGGAAGGGAGCACTTTTTGCTTGCAGCTAACAACATTTTTCTTTTTCTTTTCTTTCCTCTCAGTTTCTCTCTCTCTCTCTCTTCGTTTTTTTTTTGTTTTTGTTTTGTTTTTTGCTTTTTTGTTTGACATCGTGGGGTGTATTTTATCTTATTTCAACTCTTACACTGTTCCACTCGCTAGTTAAAATTAAATTTGTACTCAGTTAAACTCTCGCTTAGCTCTGACTTAGCTCGCAAAGAAACGCTTAATTGCTTGGCTTTTTACGTCAGCTTATGAGTATGGGCATTTCTCTTGGTATGGGGTATGTATAATATACTATTAAAAAGGAACTTACAAATTCAACAAATTTGATTATTCCAGGGATTATGTACTCCTTGGTAAGACCTGGAGCCTTTTCAGTGTCTTGATTCTCTGGATCCGCCATCTTTTTGAATAAAGGCTATCTAACATAAAAAAAAATGTTAAATTATGTGTTAAATTAGGCAAGTTACCAGTAAAATTAAAGGGAAGTTCTTTTCATTGCTAAGCCGCTATAGCAGTGGAAAAAGAGGAGAAGAGACGAGGTTTCAGAGCCGGCAAGTGTTAAAAGTTCATGCAGTATTTTCAGGCACGCTTTTTTACAATTTACTTTTGACTATCCTCTGTTTTTGAAGCGAGAAAGATACTGAATTACAGCTGACGGATAATTAGTATAGGTAATAGCATGATTTGTAGTGATATTTGCAATAAATACACGAGTTATATTTCGAAGTTGTTATATGTAATTTCACGAGCCGTTAGGCGAGTGAAATTTGAGACAATTTTGAAATATCACGAGTGGTATTTATGCCAAATATCTGACGTACAAATCATGCTATTATTTGTTTATACTACTACCCACAAAAGGTTTGTAATTTTCATATGTAGGTATTTCAAATTAAGCTGAAATACTACTGCTCAGTAAACCAATCAAATTGCAGAAATTTCTCATGTAGTAGTATAAACAAGCCAATACGGAACTGGTTGTAATAATAATAATAAATGTTATTTAGCCAGGGTTGTAAATGTTATTTAGGGTTGTTATTTAGCCAGGGTTGTAAATGTTATTTAGCCAGGGTTGTAGGTTAGGGTTGCGTTAATGATCTGAATAATTTTTTTTTTGCTTCAGTAGAATTTTCACTCATTGGCTCAGTTCGATATCGTTAGTTTCACGTAAAAGGAACAATCAGATATCAACGAGACCTGGCCAGTTATGATCTACAGCATAGATATTTGCTGTTTTTACAAATTCAAAACCAAGCTGGCAAGCATTCGATCAATTTTCCTAGCGTTTATTCGCGCTTCTGATCTCTTTTTCCCTTTCAACGAACGCACGGAAGGAATTTTCGAGTTAAGGCAAACTTGAAGCTTGGAGATGCAAATGAGATCAATTACACGAGATGTATGTGCTCTGAACCTGTCTAAAACCTGGTTTCGGGCCGGCTTCGGTTTCCTGGTCTCCAGGCGACGGTCTGCAACACGATGGGTATAGACCATCACCACACCAGACAAGCGAGTATTTTAGCGATGAGGGATGTACGGTCATGTTTGTTTGACTTGATCGATTTTGATGCGAAAATGGCCGGGGTCTCGTGCACATGGATCTGGGCATTTTGGAAATCTCACTAAATTTGTTACGTGACCTAGACTGATTCGTGTGGACGGAACAATGCGGTTTCGGTTAGCGGATTTCTGACTGGTTTTTCACTTTCCATCTAGAATGTAAAAAAGAGGCTAATAAATGATGATGATGATGATGAGCACTGGTGACATTGATGAGGAATGCGATATGGAGGGAGACAGACATCTGTTATCGAATCACGCAGACATCGAAGCTACTATAAACAATACAATCGAGCATTTCCTGTATGAGGATATCTGTTCGTGAACAGCAGAAAATTTTCTTGAATCTCGTTCGCCGAGGCCAGGACGTTTTCGCGATTCTTCCAACGGGCTCTGGGAGACCTTAATTTTTCTACTCTTTCCACGAATAATGAACGCAATCAAAGGAAAAGTTAGCTAGTCAATTTCCACGATCATCATCGTTGCGCCTCTCGAAGCCATAATGAAACCAACTGAAGCTCAAGCGATTTGGAAAAACAGCAACAATAGCCATAGGTTGGGGGCAGGAGGAAGGCATGGACAACAACAACAACAACAACATAAGCTTTATTTGCATGACTATAATTATGTAGTTACAGTATTGCAAAAGCTTTAACATAAAAAAACAACAACAAAAAAACAAGTAAACAAACAAATCATAACAATGAAAATGCAATGCTATGATTACTATAGTCAATCAAGTGTCATCAGCATGATTTGATAACAAATTATTACGTAAATAATTACATAATGAGACAAATTTCAACAAATGTGAATTTACGACAAAGACACGGCCATGTGGAAGGAAGGTGTGCGTGTGAGATCATTTATGGAAGCCCAGAAAGGCAAAAAAAATCTTATTTGAAAGATTATTTAGCTGCAATAAAAAGATTAATGCTTTAACAGAGGTCAAAGAAAGCAGTACTTAACTGCATCTGGAATCAAATTCTTTCAGAAACAAACCGCAGGAACTAATTGCCCAGTATGCATGACTGACCGTTAGACTCCGAGCGACAGAAATTAGATTTGCTTAGTTTTAAAAAAGAAGGAAAACCTCTGATGTTGTTTATTGAAAGCTGACTCAGCTCTTTAAGATACACTCTTTCAACATTTCGTTACAAGTTTATAAACAAACACTGATACAAGTTATGTGTAGTTAACGTTCAAATAATTTTGATAAAATTATTACATTTCCTGTTGTATATCGATGTTTCCATTGCAAGTCCGTGTGACTCACTATCTCAGTTTACGTTTCATTTTCGCAACCACGCAAACATAATAAAGTACTTTCAACAAGTGTGGCATGAAATGAAAGGCATTTTTTGCCCATTCTTCCTCTATGTAGCCCCATATTTAGACTCTCTCAGTTGAGTAATCAGTCTCAGATAAAGTATTTTTGAAAAGATATCCAACTTCAGGTCGCGAAGCTGCAAACTTCGTGCTGTAGTAATTTGCGTAACATTTATAGCTACATTTAGCAACATTTCATGTTAGCGTAAACATATCTACACAATATTGGCGGAATATGACAATTGCTCAAATCGATATTCCCAATAGATCGGTTACAGTAGAACAGCTAGTACATGTATATCAATACTGACATGTTCTACTTAGAAAAAGTAGTATATTTGTAAGTCAAATAAGAGCTTATATTTAGGAAATAGCTTAGCCTACCTTAATCTTTGCGGCTTATGTTATGCTGTACGATGTCCTATGCCAAAAGAGGATCACTTTAGCTTTGTAACAATGCAAAACGCACGAGCAGGATTTATATATGGATGTTTTATGGCTGAGCGTTGCTGATCTAGCGAGCTGCTAAAACTGACGTCATGAAAAAGTTCACAGAGCGGGCGTGATCCTAATTGTTGTATTTTCTCAGAACTAAACCCGGAACTTATTAACTCACACAATCCTTCGCCCCTATGCCTATATACTTTGAATTATTATATGCTACTTTGCAACGGTTGTATGGGTACTGCCTAATTAGATCATATCATTTACAGCTGCCTTTGTATAGATAAAGAAATCACTATTATTCGTGATTAGAGTTCATGCAGAAAGGACGCATTACCGGAAGTCATGCCACTTTTGCGAAATCAGTTCCTGTTGTATATCGATGTTTCCATTGCAAGTCCGTGTGACTCACTATCTCAGTTTACGTTTCATTTTCGCAACCACGCAAACATAATAAAGTACTTTCAACAAGTGTGGCATGAAATGAAAGGCATTTTTTTGCCCATTCTTCCTCTATGTAGCCCGATATTTAGACACTCTCAGTTGGGTAATCAGTCTCAGAAAAAGTATTTTTGAAAAGATATCCAACTTCAGGTCGCGAAGCTGCAAACTTCGTGCTGTAGTAATTTGCGTAACATTTATAGCTACATTTAGCAACATTTCATGTTAGCGTAAACATATATACACGATATTGGCGGAATATGACAATTGCTCAAATCGATATTCCCAATAGATCGGTTGCAGTAAAAAAGGAAGTACATGTATATCAATACACATGTTGTACGTTTAGAAAAAGTTTATATATTTGTACGACAAATAAGAGTTTAGGAAATAGCTTAGCCTACCTTAGTCTTTGCGGCTATTATGCTGGACGATGTCTTATGCCAATAGAGGATCACTTTGGCTTTGTAACACTGCAAAACGCACGAGCAGGATTTATATGTGGATGTTTTTGGCTGGGCGTTGCTGATATAGCGAGCTGCTAAAACGTCATCGAAAGGAGTCACATAGCAAGTGTGATCCTAATTGTTGTATTTCTCAGAACTAAAACCGGAACTTATTAACCCACAGAACCCTCCGCCCCTGTGCTTACTTTGAATTATTATATGCTATTTTGTAAAAGTTGTATGGGTACTGCCTAATTAGATCATAACCTTTACAGCTGCCTTTGTATAGACAAAGAATTCACGATTATTCGTGATGAGAGTTCAGTATGGACTCATTACCGGAAGTCATGCCACTTTTGCGACATCACTTCGTCAGGTTCTGCACTACGTATACTTGACGTCTGGCCCGATCAAAAAGGGAAAATAAAAACATACTCTCATGTAGCAACCGCTGAGAATGATGGAACAGGGAAAACAAAAAAGAGGGCTGCTACTAAGATTTACGACTGACTCTTGAATAGTATAGAGACGGCCGCTTTACTAAATTGTTGAGCTGTTTTTCACGTTCGGTATCTGAACACTGATGCAGCTTTCATTATTTCGTAATAAAACAGGAAGGTATGTAATTGTAATATTGTCTGTCTTTTTTCCACGAATTTGCTTAAACACTCTTAAACCCTTTTCCTTTTAACAGACAAAGCACAAACAGTTCTATCAACAAATGATCTTCAGTTGAAGCTTAGCCTCGTTCCTCAAGGACAGAGCCCTGGAAACGAGGTTGAGTTGATGCTCTTGTCTCGGTATTCTGAAAGCCCGTTTGAACTCTTAACTAAACTTGGATGACTGGGGCCACTTTTGCGAATTATCAGCGCATGATCTTTTCCTTGTTTTATGGTTCCTGCAAGTGACCACGCGGTCAAGACTTGATTAAAATTTATCATCTCTAGTCTTGATCAAAGTTAGACGTAACTTAAGGGTAGACCACCTTATTTACCCTTATTTTAAGCAGTCACCCCTTATTTACCCAAGGTGCGGTTCTGACACTTAGTTAGCAACTACGTAACGCTATTTCAGGGTAATCTGGAAAAGCAAGAATCCGGAGCACCGAAAAAAACTGCAAAGACTTTCCGAAGATTGCCGAAGTCTCGCGACGATCCTCGAAGAACAAACGACTGAGATCATGGACTGCCCGAGATCATCTAAGGGGCCCCTCTTTTTTGTAGGGTAGGCACTTTAGGTTACCATTATTATAAACAGGTTCAGAATACTGAACACGCATGGCAGGACAAGGTTTTCAAGAATTTGCGTGACTATTTATTTTTTTTTTTTTCAATTAATGTGTTAATACGTTGCACGAAATTTTTCAATGGGGGTTTTCCCCCAGTTCCCCGATTTTTTCTGACGGGAAGAGGGCGTCTGTACACAAGTAAAAATGACAGGAAAAGTTTTGCAATGTCTGGAAAGTCATTTTGTTAGATGAAAAACGCTGGCCAGGGATTATTTACATCCCTTAGGAGCTACAGCTTCGTTCTAGTGCAAATATTTCACACCGCACGGTCCCTTAAAAAAAAAAAAAACTTATAAAGGCAAAATAGCCCGACAAGTTACAAATCTTTTCAAAATAGCATGACTTGGTTCCTCTTTTAGCAAACTGGGGGAGAGTCAAACCAAGTTTAAAGATTCTCAAGGTATACTTATTACTCATCAGATAATAACTACATCAGTTTCGTTGTCTGGCTATTATTCTACGCACTGACAATTATAAAAACTAGAAGTTAAACCTTTTTTAGAATGAGTTTGTTCATTCACAGAAAGACAGAGTATGATGAGTATAGTGGATTAAGAAAATGGCAGTACAGGTTGCTTGTGGCGAAAAAAAAAATCGAAGGGTTTGACCAACCTCATTCCCAAGATTGTGTCCTACTCGTTTGTGACGGGAGAGAACCCTGGGAACGAGGTTGAGTTTTAACGAGGATTGGGCCCGGCCATGGTTTTCTCTCAGTACAATTTGATTTGTGAGTGGGTGTGCGGATTATGATGAGTTTTCGTGCACATCCTGACAAACATCACAATTTTTCAATTGAAAAGTTTGCGATCAGTAGCAAGAATTCAATTTTTTCATTAAATGTAGATCCTTTTGTTAGTTGTTAAAACGGAAGAGTTCACAAAAGAAAACAATAGCAGTTTTTTAATCAAGCCAGTTCCGCAATAGACCTGTAAAGCTTGCATGTTATATATTTTGCTCTCTGTTCTGTTACGCAAGAGAACTGTTTCTTTCAAATGTGGTGATATACACGTGCACCCACTTGAATATGTATGTCTACATAATTTATGAAAAGACTAAAGACAAATTCCCTGGAGAGCATCACGTGGTCTTAATTTGAAATGCAAAACATACAAGCTAAAAAGGTCTATTCGTAGGCGATGTTACGACTCCTACTTTTCAGGCCGAAACAATCAAGTGAAACGGACGCAGCTGGTGGGGACTGGCGCCAAAACAGTCTGCGGTTTTAGAGAGGCCGGTCCGATAATTGCAAAGAGAGGCAAATACTGTATTTGACCGCCGACTTAACTTCAGTTAACTTGTGCCACTTGCTGAACATTTAACGACGCTCGAAAACAATTTACACGAGCAAACCTTATTTGAATGTAAGCAGTGGGTGCCTCGTTTCTCCCTTTCGTCTAGGACCATACCACAGGCAAAACACTAGCACTCGTCCGATCGATTACTGACGTTAATTACAATCCCGACGCATAATTGTTCTCTCTGCACTAAACCTGTTCTCCTTTCATCATATATTTACCACACTGGAACTAAAAATACCTAAAATAGGAACACAGTATGTCATAACAGTTGACCAAACAATTTTAGGAGCCACAGTTGAGTGACATTTGATCACATCCTTCCTTGCATTTTCATGAAGTGAATCACAGTATCAATGATGAATAAAACCATGGAGAAGAATCCAAAGGCCTTAGAGGAGAAAAAATTAAGACATTAGTCTAAGCCAGAAAATTTCGAACTCATGTGTCTGTATGAACATTCTGCATAGGAACTGACAGAGGCCCCTACAATATTGCAGTCTAAAAATTACGGAAGGCTTAAGAAACTGAACCCTTGGAGGCACAAGAATCACTTCAGCAATTTCCCCTAGCGTAGCATAAAAGAGTTGGTGGTTGCGACCTTAATTCAGTACATATAATTTTTTTTATCGTTTTGAACCCTTGCATCGAAAAGTTCATGGAGCCTAGAAGTCGGACTTAACCCCTAAAAAACGCTCAGCTTTCGGTTTGCATGGCGTCCCGCTCAAAGTGTTTTAACACTTTGAATTAAGAACAGAAGTTTTGAATTAAGAAAAATTTTTTCAAACCGTATTTTCTAGCCAAAATGACCACCTTGGCCTTAAAATGATATTTTTTAATATAAANGGAGGCACAAGAATCACTTCAGCAATTTCCCCTAGCGTAGCATAAAAGAGTTGGTGGTTGCGACCTTAATTCAGTACATATAATTTTTTTTATCGTTTTGAACCCTTGCATCGAAAAGTTCATGGAGCCTAGAAGTCGGACTTAACCCCTAAAAAACGCTCAGCTTTCGGTTTGCATGGCGTCCCGCTCAAAGTGTTTTAACACTTTGAATTAAGAACAGAAGTTTTGAATTAAGAAAAATTTTTTCAAACCGTATTTTCTAGCCAAAATGACCACCTTGGCCTTAAAATGATATTTTTTAATATAAAAACCACTTCAGCTTGTTGCTAAATGCTAATTAACCCTATTTTGAGCGGACGTTTTTCTGCTTCCTTCCTTCCTTTGTATAACTTCAAAACCGCTCAAATGATACAACCACCACAATTGCATAGAATAATGCACTCACACAGGAACCCATAGTTTACTCATCATATCTACCATCTTGGCATAACGTGATTGACTCAATGACGTAATTTGACGTCATTATGACGCTGGAGAGGCGGGGATTTTTGAACACCCTATCCCCAAGTTTGCATGTCCAGGTATCGCTTTTAACATTCAAGGTACCAAAATTTAAGGTTGGTGATAGTGTTTTGCATTCTCCCATTCCCTTTTGCGTAAAGCCAGCCTGACATGTCAAAATGTGCAGTGGAACCTTTATTCAGGGGACAACCACCGGACCAAGGTAAGTGTCCCCTGAACAGAGGTGTCCCCTGAATGGAGTTTGGGCTGGGGTTTGTTAATAATTAACCAACAAATTAAATATTTTTGTCCTATTCTACCTCAGCATCTGCTGCAGTCATTATTTCAAACAGCTAGATAATGTATAAAAAATCATGATTAAATTATCTCGGCGAGGCAGTGTGTGTTGAATTCCAGCAAGTGCAATACATCCATTTTAGTAAGATAGTGCATTCTTTGAAAGCTGTCGCCATTGCATTATGCCGACTCGTGTATACTTAAACTTGTCAAAGATTTCAGTTGTGGACAATAATAACTTTTTGAGTGCTAAGGAATCCACTGCGCTCAATGGAAGTTAAACCCAGGTTTCGGGACCCAGTAAAAAAGTCCCTTTCTCCTGAATATAGGTGTACGTCCCTTCAACAGAGGTAACAAATACAAAGATTAAGTGAACATTTTACCGGGCCCAGATTTTGTGTCCCCTAAATAGAGGTGTCCATTTAATAGAGGTGTCACAAAGGAAAGGTTTCACTGTAGTTTGATTTTCCTACATACCGCTGCTGCACTCAGCTTATCTACTGAAAAACCATATAGGCGATAACCGCCATAAATGTAGTTCCATCTCCTGGCATCATCAGCTATCAGAGATGAACTGATCAAAAGAAGCACTGCCACAACAGCAGCGAAGATTATCACCTACAATGCAATTTCAAGAAAGTCACAGAGTTTAACGAGCTGTGTTTTGGTTTTTACGGGAACTAGGTAGACTAGGTATCCAAAAATGGCAAACTGAATACCAAAATCATCACGAACAGTACGCTGCCTTTTATTCCTGGCGCAAAAATATGCCTTCCTGAGTTTGGGCATGCGCAGAAAGCAGTGGCATGCTAATTCTGTTTACCAGCCTGTTGCAGGCGTTCAGATTGTGGGGACGTCACAAAAAGATGTGAGCAGCAAAAACAGCGAGGGTGTGACGTCTTTCCTTCCTTTTTTAACCCTCGCTCTCTGACTTCACACCGCACTCGACTATCTGAACGCCTGCGGGACTTTTTACGGGCACTTCCTCGAGGTAACTGTAAATGGCCTTAACAATTTGGTAATTTCGAGCAATATAACTCGTTGCTTATAACGAATATGTAATGAGAAAAGTCTTTTAAAATTTGGCACCAATGGGGGATCTTGTGACAAATTTAAAGTTGCAGAGGACCACTCAAAATGTCGCTACAGAAACTTAGTACTATTATCGTCCCAAGTGCCGTGAGCAGGTGATGTTTCCAGTTGGTGGGAAAGTTGACTAAGATGATAACACTAAACAAGCTGGGAGATGGGTTATCACCGTATTCAACGATGTAATTATTTTCATAATATGAGACTCTTACCGGCAAGTTCCAGTCAATATCGACATTGATCATCGAAATCACGTTGAAGGCAAATAGAACAAATATGGCGATAACCAAGACCCACGAGGTGATGGTGACAAAGGGAAAAAAGTCCATCCGCCCCCAGGAAAATGAACCTTTAGAGCCGGCAGCCAAGCCAAACGCTATCATCAACAAGAACTAAAAGGAAGGAAAGTAAAGAATGATCATCGCAGTAAATTTTCCAAATTAAGCAATTGGAAAGAAGAAGCCTGAAAAAAAAAAAAATCAGGGCTTCAACGGGATTCGAACCCGTGACCTCCGCGTTGCCGGTGCGTTGCTCTACCAACTGAGCTATGAAGCCACACATTGGGAGCGAGGTCAATTTACTGCAATGATCATTCTTTACTTTCATCTACTACCGCACTGAGTTCAAAAATGAATTATTTTACATACTTCACATCAAAGAACTAAAAGGATAAGAAAAAAAAATTACGTCGAAAGATAGTTCAAGAAATACAAATGTGGTGAGGTTGCTTAATTTGGTAACAACTTATATAAAACGATTAGCCCTATTTTACATTTGTCTTTGGTTACCTGGTTTTAGAGTGAAAGAGAGGCAGGAGTTGAGTTTGTTTTGATGAAAAAAATATTAAATAGTAAAATAAAATAAAATCCAAACAACTTGCGATTGTTGGAAGACCAAGTTCTGTTTTCCTGCAAAGTTTTTATAGTTCAAACGGTTTAAATGTTTTATGAATAGATAGGTATGGAAGGGAGCACTTTTTACTTGCAGCTTACAACATTTTTCTTTTTCTTTTCCTTCCTCTCAGTCTCTCTCTGTCTCTTCTTTTTGGCTTTTTTGTTTGACATCGTGGGCTGTATTTTATCTTATATCAACACTGTTCCACTAGCTAGTTAAACTAATTAATTTTGTACTCAGTTAAACTCGCGCATAGCTGTGACTTAGCTCGCAAAGAAACGCTTAATTGCTTGGCTGTTTACGTCAGCCTCATCAGTATGGGCATTTCTCTTGGTATGGGGGATCTATAATATACTATTAAAAAGGAACTTACAAATTCAACAATTTTGATTATTCCAGGGATTGAAGTTATGTACTCTATGATAAAACCAATCTGTCCACCACCACTACTACTTTGCTTCTCTGGAGCCTTGTCAGGGTTAGCGCCTTGATTCTCTGGATCCGCCATCTTTTTGGATAAAGGCTATCTAACATAAAAAATGTTAAATGATGTGTTAAATAAGCCAAGTTACCAGAAAAATTAATCATGGGCAGTGGAAAAAGAGAAGAGGGGACGGGGTTTCAGGGCCGGCAAGTGTTAAAAATTTGTGTGGTATTTTCATTCTTTCTACAATTTACTCTTGACTATCCTTCTCCGTTTTTGAAGCGAGAAAGATACTGAATTAC